CAGTGACGTTGGGATTTGGATAGAATTTGGAAACTCACTGGAACAGCATAGAATGACGGTCTCAATCGTGTGGACGCCATCAACGTCGTACAGGTAACCGTTGAGGCGCGAGTGAACATGTAAGTTGTGTGAGTGGCCATTTGAGCAGCAAACAAGACACTGGGAAAAGGGTGCGCGTAAAAAGCGTTCGGGAAGCTTGGTTGTAAGATCCTCCTGCATGCCAAACTTGCGGACAGTAGCAGATGGGTTGATTCGACACGAGGGTAAGATTGCAAACATGATTTGCCATAGTTCAGAATATAAGTCATGGGGGTATCCAGGCGATAGCGCTGTTGCAAGGAACGGTATGAGGGTGAACCGAGTTGATGTCAGACGTAGAGATTCGCCGGCGATGTGTAGGGCTTCAGCGGCCAGGGTGGCGAACCGCACAAAGTCGGCGACGTTGAGTGTCGCAGAGAGCTGAGGTGATTGACTGTTGAGCTGTGCAACAAAATCACGTAAAAGCATCTTTAAAATTGACCGAAGTGTGGGAGGGTAAGCAACAGTGTTAGTGTGGAAGGTCAAGGATGCATGAAGCAGTGATGGATTTCGGATGTAGGGCGTGTCACCTCCCACATGTCACCTGTGAGTATACCCTAGTTCCACAATCAGGCCATGTGTTTAAGGCGGGCTTAAGGGGTTTGTCATTGGTTTTGTCAAACTGCTAGGATGATAGGTGAACAAGATTTTACATGCCTAATCCCCGGAGTAAACCCATGCATCATGGGTTTATGCAAGATTATCACGATTATCAGGGGTGTATCAGACCAATCCCCTGATTCTCCGGCCTACCGCGACGGTACGGAAGCCGGAGATCCCCGAGCCCGCGGGAAACGGGGCTCATGCTGACAAACATGTGACCAGGACCGGGCGGATAATTCCTTTTTCATCCCTAACATAGCAAAAATTGGAGGGTCTGATTCATTCCTTTTTCATCCCTAGGGTTTATAGGACTTATCCGGAGTCCTGGAGAGACAAAATTGGGTGAGGGACAAAACAGGACAAAACCCGGGTTTTGCACATTGGCAAGATTTTCAAAAAAAATCAATCTTTGTTGAAACAGCTGTGATACTTGCACACCAATCTGTGATATGTAGCTTCCTTATGGATGTAGCACTCATAAGAAAGGCATGTTTTCTGGCCACATGCTCATAGGCAACTGTTGTGCACCAAAGATGCAGTCTGACCCCATAAAACATCAGTAATCGGTTACAAAATCTTCACACAAAAGGGAACACATATCTTGTTTTTGATAAAGATGAGGAGTTCATCTTTTCTCTGTAATCAACCTTTCATAGCTTTCCACAAACCTATACACATAGCCAGACCTAGCCCTGATCCCAAACCCACCATCTGGTCACAATTTACACAGGTCAATTCTTTTCCTTGAGTTCTCCCTCAATCAGCTGGATTTCCGACATTTTTGGTCACAAACCTCAGTAGGAGCTTTCCTGGGTACTCCAAGCACTGGAAAAGATGCACATGGGTTGGGGCTATTCAATGAACCCGGCCGTAGCTCCGCCGTTTGGCTCGCTGCGGCTTAAAACCCAAAGGCGCAAAATGTTTCTTGATGACCGAGGCCAAAATCCGAGCATGATTCTGGCCGTTACAATAGGATATCTCAGGAACGAGTAGTGCTAGAGGGTCAAGAGTTAGCTCATCAAAGAGCTCTTGTCTAGAAGCACGGTTTGCACCAATGTAGCTGTCGTAAAGCTGCAGTGTAGTGCGTCCATGACCCATAAACATCAAAAAAAAACGTCAGATCTTAGATCAGACGCATCCACAGGTGTGGAAGCCAGGGTGCTAGGCGCTCACAGAGTGAAGTCCAGGGATCGACTGTTCAGAGAGAGTCGAAGTTTTAGTCCGGTTCAGTTCAGTTGAGTACTCCTTACCACCGATTAAAAAAACGACCCAGAAGAACATTCAGCTTAACTACTATCACTATCACCATCACCACCATCATCAAACATCACAATCTTCAATTCCATTACAACTAAAACCAAGTCAACTCAATCTCAAGAAACAAAACAAATTGATTCATAAAACTCACACTTACACATAAGCATTCTTACACATTCAATCCGACCGAGCAACAACCAAAGCAAAGAAAACTAATCATATCATTAACCGAATACATTTTCAAAAAGAAAAAGAAGAAGACGTGAAGATTGACTCCTATCTACTTACCCTCAACAAAACTAATCGTTCATACTCTTATCATCATAATTCAACTTCATTGGAACATCAACTTTTGATATATCAACCCATCAACTTGGATTATAACTCATTCAACTTTTTTTTTCAAATCAACTTTCTTTCCTCATGGGTTTACTCGAGGATAAGTGAGTAGTTTCAAAATAAATAACTTATAATTTCATTCAATCAACTAAACAAGAAAACCTTTTCTTTTCGTTTGATTAGGTATATTGGACTAGGTCTCGCTATCTCTTCTTCAATCGCTATTGGTACTTCATTTGTAAGACCTGATCATCTAGATCAATTGACTATCCTTCAACCAAACCTTATATTTTCTGATCGTCTTTTGACATGCTTTATGGTTTCAACAGATCATTACAAAAAAGGTTAGTAAACAGGTTTAATCTTATATCTTTTGCATCGAACTCATTTATCTTGATTTATCCTTCTTTTTTTTTTGACCAAAATAGGGATTGATGGATGCTGCTGATCGGACTGGATCTTCTACTGAGGGTCATACTTATCTTAGGAATCCGATTTGGTGGGCTGGAATGGTCACAAGTATGTGCTTTATTCTACATCGATTTAGACTTTAGGTCGTTCCCAAACTGAATTGAATCTCTGTTTTAACTTTGAATTTTGATTTTCAGTGGTTGTTGGAGAAGGTTCGTTCGGATATCTTCTTTCACCCCGAGATTGAAATGCTAAGGTGTTTGACTTCTCTTTCGGTTCGATTCAGTTGCCAATTTTGCTGCATACACCTTTGCTCCTCCTATCCTCGTCACTCCTCTAGGTGCGCTATCGGTCCTAATAGGGTACGCTGCCCGACCGCTTGGTCAGCTTTAGCCCAAGTCTTCTTCTTCTTCACTTTTTCCCTTCTTAACTAGCCTTTAACCTTTCTTTTCTTTCAGAAACAAAGAAACTAAAATTGGTTGATCGATTTTTTTTTTCGAAATTTGATTTTAGAGCGATCTTGGCTTCATTTTTCTTGAAAGAAGAGTTGGGTAGGATTGGAAAGATTGGTTGTGCACTTTGTTTGGTTGGATCTGTGATTATTGTGTTACATGCACCTGAAGATAAAGAAATTGAAACAGTTGATCAAATTTTAAGATACGCTATGCAACCTGGTGAGTGCGAAAAAAAAAGAAACCACTGATCCTCATTTTCGTCTTGTTCTTTGAAGATATGTTGATTTTGAACTTGTGCTGATGATCCTCGATTGGTTTTGGAACAGGTTTTATGATTTATTGTCTATTCGTGCTCTGTTTCAGTCTATTTATGATTTATAGAATCTCACCCACATATGGACCAAAAGAACCGATTGTATATATTTCAATTTGTTCATTGGTTGGATCAGTTAGTGTGATGGCTATCAAAGGATTTGGAGTAGCTATCAAATTAACATTTGCAGGTAATAATCAATTAACTCATTTACCTACTTATGTGTTTGCTTTGGTGGTGGTGGGTTGTATTATTGTTCAAATGAATTACTTCAATAAAGCTCTTGATCAATTCTCTACCAACGTGTGAGTTTTAGTTCTATTCTATTAGATTTGCCTCATTCACTGATCATACTTGTTATTTCCTTTGAATAGTGTGAATCCGATTTATTATGTATGCTTTTCAACAGCTACAATACTTGCTTCATTGATTTTATTTCGTGGAATGGGAACTCAAGATGCAATCAATACATTATCATTAATCATGGGATTCGTAGTCACCTTCTTAGGAGTCTATTTATTAAATGTATCAAGATATGATCCAAGTGGTACATCATTGAATCAACCTACCATCAATAGAAGAACAATAGATGGAGTGATTAATCAACCCAGGAGTTCATCTACACATCATACTAGGTTAAGTATGAGTTCAGATCGAAGCTTACCACTTTATCATCATTCAACTTCATCAGTTTTGAATGTGAATGGAAGAAAGAAATCGAATTTATATAATAGATCTCAAGATAGCGTTTTATTTGAAGCGTTTCCAGAAGAAGCTGTTGGATTAACTATCATGCATTCTGAAACATCTGAAGAAGATCATGAAGATCATGAAGATCATGAAGAAGATGAAGAAAGAGAAGAAGGGGAAAGAGATCGACTTGTTAGACCGAATGGAAAACCAGATGGATTGAAAGTTAGAACAGATTTACAAACCAATCAATTCAACTCATCTAATCGAACTATTAAATCATCAGATAGAAGAGAAGATTCGAATTCAATTCAAAGGAATCATGAGAATTTAAGATCTAAATCTGCTAGTGGAGTTTATCATCAGAGTTGATATATTGTTCTTCACTTTTTTTTTTAGATTATTCCTTTGGGGTTTGTTTTTCTTGTTTTTTTTTTGATATATATATATTTTTTAGGGATCTACATACAAAAAAGGAGAGAGAATTCTTTTATTTTATATATATACATATAGAGGATCGAGAGGAAATGATACGATATTTTTTTTACTTTTTGCTTTCTTTGTTTGTTTCTTTGTTTGTTTGTCTGTTTGTTATTCTTTTGTTTGTTTGTTTTTTTTGATGTGTTTTTGTGTTTTTCTTTCAAAATGATGATGAGATAATGATGATGATGATAAGATAATATTATTTTTGTATGTACATATTTTGTACAATGTGAGTAGATAGGTGTTTTTAAAAAAAGGAAAAGAAGAAGAAGAAGAAGAAGAAATGAAGATGACTTGGTGTGATTATGATTTTTATTCCGAGGGGGTTGCATTGATGAGAATTAAAATTGTGAAGAGTTTGAAATTTGAAAGGAAATGTTTTAAGATAGGATTCAATTTAAATTCAAGAAGATGTGATATATCGTTATTTGATACTTGAACAGATGAAGTTGTTGAGAATGTGAGGTGAGGTTATGATAAAACTTAAATGCAACAATTTTCCACTCAACCTACATCACCCCCTTGCTACCTTTGTACATTCATCACCAGCGTATTTGGCTTGGATGCCAGAATCCAAGGCATGGTGACATTTTGCCTCCAAGCAAAGATTCACCAAGGAGCCAATCCAAGATAATGAAAGGGCCAAAATTTGCCACACAGGCATACCTCAGGCTCGGGTGCCCTTTTCCTTGGGGGCGCTGTCTGTTACAATCCTATCAGTGTGGCACTTGTACTTACACAATGTGCTTGAGTATAGACAAGTTCCAACACTTTCATGAGCAGGAGGCATTGATCCTTAGACCTCACTTAGAAATCTTCTATCATATTTTGAACCAGAAGTTGGAATGATGACTGTTTTTGAAGATAAAAAGAGTAGATAAATAAGCAGGTCAGGGTGCTTCAGAAATCAATTTCAGGAGGTGGTTGGAGGAGCTTGACAACTGGAGATCTTGTGTGAAATATCATATGATGAAGACATTTCAATAGAACGCATATATACATTTGATGACATTTTGAGAACCAAGATACATATATGCTTGGGTCTCAAGTTCTTTCAACCCTTGACTGACAAATCATTTGAGATAAAATTGTATCAATAGTGAGAGCATCTTCAAGGTTGCTGAATCTGGAAGCTTGTACAGGTCGGTTTTTCCCTTGGAGGGGTGTTTGGCAACAGCATCATGCAGTGTGCATATGAGCTCCAATCTCAATTCCCAATAGGGGTTGCTTTGAGTTGCAACTCATGTCACAGAAAACCCAATAGGTCTACAATCTTCCTGGAGAGAACCATCATAACATAGATGCTTCATAGGTCCATGATGGCTTGCAGCAACCGCAAGAGGTGGTAACGTGAGATACCCGCACAGCACTTGGTCACTAGACAAGTAGTGCAAACAAGGCCATGCACTGCAAGGGAAGTTTTTCCCAATACACGCTCCCACCTTCTCAAACTCTAGTCACCATAGAATAAGTTTTCATTGTTGCAAGTCCATCATCTCTAGACTCAGAAGATCCTTAGCAAAGGTTCTGAGTTCACATTTTTTGTTTTCGTCAACCACCCCACCCACCCAACAGAAAAAATGACATCCCACCCTCAGACCCAATGGAGGTCCCCAGCCTGGCAAGACTGGTTCCCAAGAACCAAATCTCAGGGCCAGTTGGTGCCAGAAAACCAAGCCCCAGGCCGGGGCCCCCGCTACCCCAACCCGCACAATCTTGACTAGATTGTAAGGATTGTGCCTTAAGGGCGGACATAGGACAAGTATTTGTCAGAGAGTATGTAAGTAACATACCTAACTATCTCAAAACACTCTACCAGAGCTAAAGTAGCAAGTAGTGAATGGATCAATATTTCTCATTCAGGATCTAACAATACTTAAAAATTGGATGGATGCCCTAATATTTGTCATTCTTTGGAAAAATGCCTTTTGGGGAGTGGCTTTGAGAATGCTCCGCTAGGTCAGCAAATTTGCTGACCTGAGCATGGGAGTGTGTCAATTCCAAAAAAAATAAGATCACACCCATGGCCAGCTGTGTGACCTTGGTGTCAACACTGTGCCTTTTTGCAAATGAGCAATGCATGCTATGTTTTTGAAAGAAACCTATTGTTTAGTCATTTGGATTCAGCCATGCTGGGTAAGCTCTGAGGTCTTATCTCACTACTTTACTTACACTAGCTTCAAGCAAAGGTGGTCATGATTGCTAAAATGTTCATGTGATGCAATCAAAGGATTGCATGTGTTGTGTGAAGTTGAAATCAGCTTCTGTACAATATTGTCAGAATCAGACCAGCCTATACATTGAAAGTTGAGAACCAATGTGGAACAATGCTTGGTGGGGGGCTGTGCCAATAGTGTTTTCATCCAAATCCAACCTTCACAAACGTTTTTAAGACTTGACTTGATTTCTTGGAGCTTCTTGGTGAGTCATAAGATTCTAATTTGTTCAAAAAGTATTAGTAAAAAAATGTGACAAAAACAGATTGATGAAATATTTTAAGACTCACCAAAGCTACAAGCAATTAAATCTGAAAAAGGTTTGTAAAGGTGGGATTTAGATGAGAACCAATGATATCTAAGCCAATCAGAATGATAAAGAGAGTGAAAATGTTTTCTACCAACCTGCCCAATTGTCTTGGTACATTTCCCTGCAATTTTTTCCAGCCAACCAGCTACATAAACAATGAAAGAATATATATGTTTTCAATGGACTGAGCTTGTATATTTTCACACTCTCTTGCCAAAAGGTACAGTGCTGACACCAAGGTCACACAGCTGGCCATGGGTGTGACCTTGTTGTTTTGGAATTAAAACACTCCCATTCTCAGTTGAGCAAATTTGCTGACCAAGCAAACATTCTCAAAGCCACCCTCCAAAAGGTGTTTTGCCAAACAATGACAAATATCAGGGCATCCATCCAATTTTGATGTATTGATAGATCTTGAATGAGAAAGATTGAGCAAGATTGTAGACCTATTGGGTTTTATGTGACATGAGTTGAAACTCAGAGCAACCCCTATTGGGAATTGAGATTGCAGCTCATATGCACACTGCATGATGCTGTTGCCAAACACCAAATCCACCTGTTCCTCCAAAGGAAAAACCAGCCTGTACAAGTTTTTGGATCCAGCAACATTGAAGATGCTCTTACTAGTGATATAGTTTTGTATATCTCAAATGATTTGTAAGTCAAGGATTGAAACCAAGAGTGTATATTGGTTCTTGAAATGTCATTAAATGTATATATGTGTTCTATTGAAATGTCTTGCTCATATGATATCTTACAAAAGACCTCCAGTTTTCAAGCTCCTCCAACCACTCCTTGAAGTTGATTTCTGAACCACCCTGAACTGCTTGTTTCTCTCCTCTTTTTAGTTTAAATACGATTTTAACTTCTGGTTCAAAAATATGATAGATCTGTTTACATAATTGATTCAAATTTTCTGAGCCTGTTTGAATTCATTTTTGTAGTGTCAAGACAATCACCAGTGTGTTTAATGTGGATGTCTGATCAGAAGATCTCATCTGATGGTATTTTGGAATCACTGCAGGCATATTTGTCTTGGGGGACCAAAGCCAAGGGGTCCTTGGACAGTGATATGACCAGGGCTTGTAGGATGCAAGAATGGTGTGAGGATGGTCTACTATGTTAGATAGATTGTTATAGTCCACTTCTTTCAGAGCCATTGAAAGAGATTTCAATTCCAATCAAAAGATGTAAGATGATCTAAAAGTAAGATATTTGCAAGTATGAGATACAAAGATATCAATCATAATATAAAACTGATCTTGGAATACTGACTCTGTCCAGGCGTAAATTCCTTGGTTCATCAGACTTGTCAAATCGCATAAAAGAACAAGCAGATCAAAAAGTATTTTTAATATTACAAAAGCAAGTGTAAGTGTAACAAAAAAAATCTCATCACCAGGAAACAAAACCAAAATCAATGCAAAATATATTTACCAAAACTAAAAACAATGATCATTTGAATCCCAGAGAAAGAATCCAACAAAACCTCACAAAGACTAAAAAGCCTTTCAACTAAAAAATCCTACAACTTATTCAGAATTCCATTTCGCCTTCTTACATTTGATTGTTTTTTTTCGATTGATGTGATGTGAATTATAAATTTTGAATTCTTCTCAACATCTCTTTCCAATGAGCTAATTCGCCTTGAAGATAAAAATGACTAAAAGAATGACTCTAATAAAATAAAAACATCCCATCAGGGTATTCAATCAATCAAATCATCTCAACACACAGATAATAACAAAGCAAGAGACTAGCTTACCAAAATCTCATCAAGAATCTCATGATAAAATTTTTCAATCTTCGCTTTTTTATCTTTAACTTTACTTTCATCTTCAATGAACTTATCAATCATTTCTCTAATCAATCCCAACTCTCTGAAAACCTTTTGTTCTTCTTCTTTTCTTTGTTCTTCTTCTTCCTTTTCCTTTTTCCCTACTTCCCCCATTTCCCCTTCTTCTTCTCCTCCTTGTGTTTCTAAAATAACTTGATCACAAACTCCAACCAAAATAAATACAAACCTACCATACTTTTTTCCAATCTTCATTAGTCCATCAAAATTTTTACTTCCAATCAATTTCTTGATTGATTCTTTTTCTAAATTTAATGAAGTTTGAAAAAATGGCCAAATCGAAAGTTTTAAACTAATTAAATGATTTTCGATTGGATTTTGATTGGATTTTGAAACTGATTTGATTAACCTTTCATTTAATTTGATCATGGCGTATAAACTTGTTGTATCTATTGAGCTTTCTAAAATCTTAGTTGTAAAAGTCTACAAGATACCCATCACCCCCCAAGAGAAACCTGATCAGATATGAGTCAAAGAAATGAGTAAAGGAAAATCAACACAACCTACTTTATGATATTCAAGAACAGGTGCAACAATTTGTTTCCAAACATGATCAAGAGCAGGTTGATGATCAGAATCAAGACTGCCATTAAACTCACTATCAGTAAAGCTGCTAATGATACTAGGAGGTGGACGTGGATGATGAGGTTGATGAGGAGTAATAGATGATCCTCTACGGGCTGGTACTGGATGACTAATAGATGAAGCCCTACTTCTTGAATTAAGTCTAGTTTGAAATGATCCGACCTCTTGTTCTTGATTTTGATCTTGTTGAGGTAAAGGAAGACCGAAAAAGTTTTTCACAAATTGATACTCTACTCCAATGTTATCAATGACTACTAATGAAAGTGATCGAAAGAGAGCTTCAGGTGATTGTTTCTAATTTCCATTAAATCATGTTTCGGATTAGTTTAAATGAATTCAAGAAGATTTGATGGAAAAAAGGAGAAGAAGACTAACGAAATCATTGGGATCTGCCATATAAGCTAGAATGATATCAGGACCTTCAATAAAAGCTTGATGAATAATAGAATCAGGTAAAGGTAAAGTTGTGGATTGAAAACCCGGTGAAATAACTCCGATAGCACCCAACTTAATCCAACCTCTAGCCCTAATCTTGTCTAATGCACGTACATAACGTCTAAGACCAGTTTCAAGGTACCATCTGATTGTCCCTAGATATGCCTTTTGAACTTCATGAGCCGTACGAGCAGCACAACGTTGAAGAAAACCAAAAAGAGATCTATGTTTTAAAAAAACTGAAGCTTGAGTGATTTGAAGATTAGTTGAAATTGAAGTTCGAAACGGTTTTAAGGCATTTAAGAAAAACGTCCTAATCTTAAAAGCAGCTAACAAACAAAGTTTATCTACAATCATTAAAGTAGGATGGTTTTCTTTTGTTGTGGTAGTAGAAGATCTGATTTTAGAAAGATGAAATTCTAATAGAGAAATCGGTTGAAACCATTTTGAACTTGGATTACTTTCTACAATAAGATTAATCAAATCAGGTGGTATGATTGTTTGAGAAATATAAGGCGTTAAGATGTTTAAAGAGCTTCGTCTAGCATCAAGTCGAGTTTCTAAAAGTTTAGATCTTGCTTGTAAATCAGCTATCGAACTTGAAACGGTTGATAAATCAGATTGAAATAAATTTAAAAAGTCGGTTAGAGATTTCAATGTATCTTGAGATGACTACTGGGAAGATTCAGTAATCAGAATCAAATCCAAAATGAACTATAGAGGAGATATACTAACTTGAAGATGAGATCGTAAATGTAGAAATTGATTTGATTGATTTGAATCTATAGAACATCGAATCAAACTTATTAGAAAAGTGAAAAACCTATCGAGTTAAATGAAAAGTACCTACCAAGTTCAGCATCCGATTTCACTGAATGATCTGGGTGATGTAAATATTGATAAAGGTTCAAATCTAAATAATTTGATAATTGATCATGAATTGAAACTTGTGATGCTAAAGTAGAATAACCTATTCGAAAAGAACCACAAGTGTCAGTTTTGATCAGATTCAACTTGAAATGAATGAATGAATGATTCTAGTACTTACATTCTGAATCTGAATTAATTCCAGTAGACTGATATGATTCTAAAATCTAAAATATCTAAAATCAGTTTCTTATTGGTTAATGATGATGGATGGATGGATGGATGGATGGATGGATGGATGGATGGATGGATGGATGGATGGATGGATGGATGGATTAATATTTACTTTTTTGATGATAGATTCTTGATCGATTTGTTCAATTTCTAATGTTTTTAATATACTCTTCACTTTCTTGTTAGTTTCATTATCTTGATCGTTGTTTTCTTGTTGACGGTCATCGAGATTTTTCAATAGTTGATGGTCAAGTTGATTAGTTGGATTGGTCATCGCTCAGTTGATGCCATCGATCACTCTTAAAATTCAAACTACATATGTAAAGATATCTTAGGAAACTACATTTCTACAAACCACATTTTATCATAACCTCACCTCGATTATCACATTTTCAATGACTTCATCTTGTTCAAGAATCAAATGACAGTGTCACATCTTCTTGAAGTTGAATTGAATCTTATCTTAAAGCATTCCCAAACTCTTCACAATTTTCTTCAATCAAATTCTCATCATATCAAACCCCTCAAAATATATAATCATCATCACATCAGGTAATCTTTATTTTGTCTTGTTCTTCATCTTTTCTTTTTTTCAAAACGCCTAATCACATTGTACAGGTCTTCAAATCCAAAGCCCATCAAAAAAAACCGATATTATTGAATAGCACCTGCAGAGCCACCTATGCTGGTAACCTCAAGGTTCTTACTTGGCATCACAAAAACAGTGGAATCCAAACAAATACATGTGCTCATTTTGCAATTGTCAAGCTAGACCTACTTCTCAAGCAGCCCCTTCTCAGCAAGTAGGTTCCCTCAAAGACTATTATATGTGGAAAGGCCCCCTTGCAAAAGATGCAACCATCGGACTGTGTCAGGTTATATAATCAGCTGATTACTTGATGTAAATGAAGATGAGAGAGGCTTGACTCAATTCATCTTTTTTTCTATCAAAAGCTTGTCCTGACCCAAGAAAATACGGCTTTGCAGAGATGATGCCGCAGCATCATGTTCCAGAAAGAACTTGATCCCCAATGAAACATTTGCTCAGCAAGCAGCTCAGATAACCCCTTATCTTTTCTGTTTCACAGGAGCCACTGCTAAATCTGGATTTTCAAAACTTTTATGTGATCTGACAGGAGAGCCAACTATTGCGGGACTTGTGTCATACACATTTCAAAATTTGCTATTAGGGGGGCTCAGGTCACATCATTTTGCTGCTTTGACTGTAAAAATCTTGGACAGCCTGGTACTGTAAAAGAACTTTCCTGATTTTTTAAAAAAGACTGCAAAAATCTTAACCTGAGCCCCCTTAATGCACCACCAACATATTTACCTCGGATCAAAAAATTTGAGGTATTCTCGAATTTCAAACCCAGAAAGATGCTGTCAAAGGTAATTCTCAGCGCATCGGAACACCTTGGACAAAAACCTCGGACAAGGTCTGTCCAAAGATTTGCCTCCAATGATGCCTAAGATTTCTCAACCCAAGGCATCTATGTTGGCAGTGATGCAAAATACAAGACACAGACCAGCCCACACCTTGAAATTTTAGTAAAATCTAATGAGCTCTGTGGAGCAATTTCAAGCATATACAGCATCAGATCTCTGCAATTTCATGTTCAACTTCCTTGATGACCAGGTAGACAGCCAGCTCCTCTGCCAATCTCTATTCTCTGTCTGTTTCACTGGCAACGGCTGATAATGACAAGCCAAGGAAATCACACCCTGTAAAACATCCATGTGATACAAGTGGAGATCAAAGAATCAAGAGGAAACATCATACACAGTCAAAATTACTTTCCCCACAAGATGAAACTCAGATCAGCCTACATTCTAGAATCAAAGACAATACAACTTTGCAGAGGTGATGTAAGAAACCACACCATTATGTTCCAGAACTTGATCCCCAATGAAAGATTTGGTCGGCCAGCGGCTCAGGCAATCCCTTATCTTTTTCTGTTTCACTGCAGTCACTGCCTGTGGGTTAAAGAAAAATAAATCTCAACTTCCAAAACTTTTATGTGATCTGACAGGAGAGCCAACTGACACATGCCTTGTGTCATACATGTTTCAAAATTGGCTATTAGGGGGGCTCAGGTCACATCATTTTGCTGCTTTGACCATAAAAACTTCCCCCAATTTCATGCAATTCACACAAAAGTCTATGAAATTGGGAAAAGTTTTAAGTCATCCCAAAAATATGTTGAGCAGCAAATTTGTGTAAATTTGCCGCTCAGAAAGACAATTTTTTTTATAAATGGGAAAACTTTTTAAAGTCTGGTACCATAAAAGGCTTTTCCCAACGCTTTAGAAAAAGGCTGTAAAAATCTTAACCTGAGCACCCTGAATGCAAAATACAAGACACAGACCAGCCTACACCTTGAAAGTTTACGTGAAATCTAATAAGCTCTGTGGCAAAATTTCAAGGATATGCAACATCAGAACCCCGCAATGTCATTCTCAACTTCCTTGATGACCAGGTGGACAGCAAGCAGCTCTGCCAATCTCTATTCTCTGTCTGTTTCACTGGCAATGGCTGATAATGACAAGCCAAGGAAATCACACCGCGTAAAACATTCATGTGATACAAGTGGAGACCAAAGAATCAAGAGGAAACAGCATACACAGTCAAAATTGCCTTCCCCACCAGATGAAACTCAGATCAGCCTATATTAACAATATCTTACATAATCTGACAGGAGAGCCAAGTACCATATGACTTGTGTCATTCACATTTCAAAAATGGCTTTTGCAAAATACAAGACTCAGACCAGCTTACACCTTTGGATCTCACATCAAATCTCATAAGCTCTGTGAAGCAATTTCAAGCATACGCAGTGTCAGATCTCTGCAACATTGTGTTCCACTTCTGAGACTTGATGATCAGCTGGACAACCAGCAGCTTGGCCAATCTCTACTCTCTGTCTGTCAAACTGGCGACTGCTGATGAGGATAAGCACAGGAAATCACACCCCTTGAGATTTATGTGATACAAGCAGAGGAAAAATAATCAAGAGGAAACATGTCATACACCACCAGAATTGGCTTCCCCACAATATGAAACTTAGATCAGCCTACATCTCAGAATCCAAGACAATTCGGCTTTGCGGAGATGATGTAATCAACCAAAGTATCATGCTCCCAAACCCGATCTTCATGAAAACTTTGGTCAGCCAGCCAGGGGCTCAGCCAATCCCTTATCTTTTCTATTTCACAGGAGCCACTTCCTGTGATGTTATGAAAAGTGAATCTTGCTTTCCAAAACTTTTATGTAATCTGACAGGAGATCCAAGCATGCCAGGACTTGTGTCAGGCACAATGTCAGATCTCTCCAATGCCATGTTCGGCTTCCAAGGATTGATGAGCAGGCAGAACACGGAGCCCAGTGTCTCAGCTGCTCTTTGACAGATATAAAAGGTCCACCCTTCCACTGATCACTCTTCCATCATCTTATCAAGGTTTTTTCACCTGACCTGCCCAATTGTCTTGGTATGTTTCTCTACTATTTTTGTCAGCCAACCAGCTCCATGAACAATGTAGGAATATATATGTTATCATTGGACTGAGCTTGTTTATTGTCACTCTCTTTACCATTCTGATTGGCTTAGATATACTCAGCTCTCATCTAAAGCCCACCTTGACAAAAAAACAGATTTAATTGCTTGAATATTCTTGGTGAGTCTTAGAATATTTCACTCACTGGTTTTTGTCACAATTTCCATTACTAACACTTGGTCAGCAAATTAGCATCTTATCATGAAGCTTGTCATCATTGCCGCCTTTCTCGTGATATCAGCAGCTTTCAATCAAGCTGGAGTCATTCATGGTATCTCAGGCAGAGAGGGGACCAAACTGGGTGGATTGGAAAGCAAGGCAACCGACACCGCCGACTCTGACTCTGATGATTCTTTGGCTGATATTGTCATAGCGGACTGGGTCCACGACATTCCGGACCAGACTTTTAGCGATCTTGATTCAGATTGAACCAATGGTCCCACAGGAAACGTGCAATCCCTGGATGACATAATCCTTCATTTGTTACAAAAGACCTAGGATGAATGCTTGGTATTTCATGTGGGCTTGGTTCATAGTAGTAGAGAAACAATGATAGTTGTACATCCACATACATCAGGCCTACTCAGCATTAGTGTGATCTGGTAGGATATGCTTGTCAACCTTGACATCCATCAGTGATAGAGGGTATTACTTCTGCTTGATGCTATTTTGCTTGTGTCTTTTCTCATTATCATCTTGTGTGGATCATAGTGCCATAGTAAATAGAGATGTATAGATGAACTAGTCCCTGATTTCCTACACCAAACCTTGATATATCATTACCCTTTTAGAGAACTCCAATGCAGCAATTTAGTCAAACTACACCATAAACATATAGTGGAGCAGAACCGACTTTGTCAGGGCAGAGAGTTGCCACACAGTCCCTGCCAAACTCATTAAGTCTGGCTATGGCGAAAATTGTCTAAGCTTTTGACAAACCACATTATCATGATTTTTGGGGAACCAATTCAAAATCTTAAGGGAACATACCAAGAGAAATTGGTCAAGTCAAAAAAATAAACCTCAATGAGATGATTGGATGGTGAAGGCTCCATTGGCAAGAAAGTCAAGGTTTTTTATTTGTTTGAAGAGCGGCTGAGTCGATAGGTTCTGTATCTTTCCCTTGGTCATCAACTTCTGGAACATCATGATCCGCTCGCTTCAAGTTCCAACGCCTACGCAAAGTTTCATTATTTTATGCTGGTCTGAGTCTTGCTTAACCCACACCAAACGTCGCGCGCGGTTTAAGGAGGGACTGTTAGGGTCTACTCTGAGTCTTGTATTGCGAGGAAGTCAATTGTGTAAGACAAGAATCCTTTGACTGTTCGCTCTGCGCTTGTATCACGTAAGTTAATGGTGAAGTCCTTTGCCTAGCGCTATGAGCAATGGCTTGTACCGAGGTAAAATCATGAATCCCCAGCGCGGCCACGCAGATGATGGGTTTGTTGTAAGTTAATTGTTATTGGTAGGAGGCTTTGATAAGTTTAAGAATCAACTTATAATCCATACAACTTTATAATTCACAATTGATTACTATGTACATAGTACATACCACACAATACAAAAACACACATCTCAAGTTATAAGTAACCAAGTCTCTTTTTAAACAGATCAAAATTCCATATTCTAAGGTTACTTTTTTTCTTCCTTCCAAACAAATTACTTTAATCTTAATATACTCTAGTTCCAATGGTGGTATGATAAAGTGTTTTTTAAAAA